ATGTTTTCTGTTAGTATTCACATACTATTTTTAAGTCACTTAATATTTTACATTTTCCAATCAATTTATCTCTACTCAATTAAGTTTTCTTTTTTACAGTATTGCAATATCGGGGTCTGGTCCAGTCAAATGGGCAGATTTAAACACACTTCATGGTTTAGTCAGCTTTATCAAATTATCTTACATCTTGGTTTTTCAATACAATATCTGTTTTCAGTTCGACACCAGGCCATAGGCATATTTAAACAAAGAGTCATGGATATGAATGCCCAAATTGATATTGAGACACTTGTGAAAATAAAAAGTCTTTTAAAATAGAAAAAATACCTGATAATGGTTTTGACCCAATCCCATAGAACAGCTTTAACCAGAGCAAGATTTGAGCAGGTAGATTCCATGGTTAAGTATGGAAGATTCCACCAAGTGTCGCAATAATAATAATAATAATAATAATAAGTGCCATACATCGAGGGAACGTGTGTCTGTGGAGCATCTGAAATAGAAGATATTGATATTGAGCATGTCCTATTTAACTGCCAATTATATGCCACAGTAAGGGCCCAGTGCCTACATTCAATACTTGATAGAATTACATATGTTCTAATTCACAGATGCCTGACCGTGAAACTCTTTGGGTGACCTTAGGCCAGTCACTAACTCTCAGCCTGAGCTACCTCACAGGGTTGTCCACTAAAGACATCTGAAGAAGTAGGCTCAAGCCTACAAACACTCATGCTACCAACTTCTTTCTTTCACTTATTCTCAAAGATCCTACAAGATTTCTTTCCATACTGATTTTACAGACTAACACGGCTATATTTTTGAATTCTATCCCAAGGCTGTTGTGAGGCTAATGGAGAAAGAAGAGTGCCATGTCTGCCACTTGAAGTAATTGAAAAAAAAGCTGCAATATTACTACATAATACAGTCGGCCCTAAGTACCTAAGGATTCTTTATCTATGGATTCAAACATCCATGGCTTGAAAATATTTTATATAGATAGATGATAGATAGGACACATCACAAGAAGGCATGAATTGTTGGAAAAGACAATAATGTTAGGAAAGTAGAAAGAGAGGAAGGCCACATGCAAGATGGATGGACTTTATTAAAGAGACCATGAATAAGAGTTTGCAGGAGCTGGGCAGAGCAGTAGAGGATAGGGGACCTGGAGATGTTTCATCCATAGGGTCCTCATGGGTCAAGATCGACGTGAAGGCAGTTAACAACTATATATATATAGATGAAACATACAGACACCATGTTACTATGCCATTGTATTTAATGGGACATGAGCATCCACGGACTTTGGAATCAACGGGAAGTTCTGGACTAAACCCCAGCAGAAACCAAGGGCCCACTGTAAATAAAATAATAGCTGTTATCAGGCAAACCTATTTACTGTATTTTCTGGTGTATAAGACTACTTTTTAACCCAGGAAAATCTCCAAAGTCAGGGGTCATCTTATACACCGGGTGGAGGAGGAGGAGGAGGAGAAGGAGGAGGAAGAAGAAGGTGTGGCGTGGCACGAGGCGGGAGGAGGAGGAAGAGAGGAAGTCCAGGTCAGAGGAAGGGGTGGCGTGGTGTGGCGTGGCGTGGGGCAGGAGGAGGAAGCAGCAGCGGATAAGAGGTGAACCC